TCCTCTGTTGTTTAACTGCTTTATGTCTTGATCTTGTCTTGTGTATTGAGCAGGGGTTTTACTGTATTGCTTACATGTACTGATTTAAAGTTCACCCATGTTTAGGTCGTCACAATTATTTCAATGCAGACTAGGGCTGGGCAATAAATTGATTTTAGGCAATTGATCGGCTTTTGAAAAAAATCGAATTTGCGATAAATCTTAAAATCGTGAAATCAAATGACGGATATTGTGAGAGTCCCAGCAGCACATTAATTATACTTGCAATATCAGCACAGTCTGTACTATACTTTTATAATACGTTTGGGGGAAACATAAAAAAAAAAAAATCGAAACTTATTGGCAAAGTTTGTCTTCGGTGACTTTAATGAAAATCGATTTAAAATCGAAATCGTCCAAAGCAGAAAATAAAATCCAGATTTTCATTTTTTGCCATATCGCCCAGCCCTAATCCAGACTTATGGTTCAAAAACGATCAAAGAAAAAGTGCAAAAAAAAGTGCAAAAAAAAAGTGCAAAAAATATGCGATGGCGGTGTCAAAGACTGTGATAACGATGTATTCTGCGAGATTTTCAACAACAATCAACGGTCGTTCAGTTGACAGAGCATTGGTCTTCAGGCTCGGTGGTCATGGGTTCGACCCCTACATGAGACTGTCATTGTGTCCATGGACAAGGCATTTAACCCCACTCTGCCTGAAGCCCCTGCTGGTCGCTGACAGAGCAGTCATCCTCATGTGGACCCACCTCCTGCAGGAGGATCAGTGAGGGGCTGGTGCTATGAGACAAAAGCCACCCAGAATTGGATTAAGGGAATGAAATTGATATTACACCACGCTTACGCCAGTGACAGCAACAGTGGCTCAGTTGGTAGAGCATTGGCCTTTGAGCCTGAAGGTTCGAGCCCACCACAAAACCTTCTCCATTGACTGCACTGATGTCTGCTGTCGTTGTGTCCTTGGGCAAGATACTTAACCCACACTAGACACTACAATGATTAAATAAGACACTAGAAGGAGCGCGGAAGTAATGTTCGCTGCATGCCTGGATGTGTGTATGTGTGTTCATTAAACTGAAATTTCCCCATGTGGGACGAATAAAAGACCTTCTTCCTCTTATTCTTCTTCTTTTTATAATTTTAATTTATTCATTGATAATTCCTTTTTGCTTAGAATAAACCGCACCATTAAACCTCGAAAATGCAACAGATAAAACTTCAATACAGCAAACAAAAGAAAGGATACTCAAAAACAAATGTATTTACTAGAAGGTATATATCGTTATTTTAATTTCACGACATATTATTCACTCTGATTGATCTTTTTATGTAAAAAAATAGGTTTTACTTAGAAAATAACAAGGACTGACCTGTCGAACCAAAAGTCGCCGTTTACCTGTGTCACGAGGTCACCTTTTTGTTGAGACATGTTCAGTTTGGAAAGACAAATACAGTGGTAATTGTGACAGCAATAAAACCAAACTGTTTTATAACCCGTTGCTTAAATGTGGGTCAGGGGGAGAAGATTATAAAACTACACAAGTCACTGTGCATAATGACTGTGCAACAAGAGGGGAGCTCTAATGCTTACATGCAGCTCTTTCTTTTATGATTTTTTCCTTGTAAAATAAATAATGTTTATATTGCTCCACATGGAAGCTTGCCTTAGTCTATTATAATGTGATTTGCTGGGGTCCTGCAGGGTGCCTTAAAAAGATTGCCCATCACAGTTGTAGTTTAACACCAGTGAGTGTGGGGCTGAGCGATAATGAGTACAACATTGGACTGAGCGGAGTGAACTTGAACTGTCTGTCAGACCGAGCCTCTGCTTCATTTGAAAATCATATTGGATGCTACTAAGATTGATCCTGCCCACCCTTGTGATCAACACATGTGAATTAGATCATATATTGTGTGGTCTGAATTGTGCTAGACCTCGCTTCCAATGATACCTTTTTCCCAAAGATAAACAGAAAAGTAAAGCTTTCTAGTTTTGATTTAACACAGATGGTAGTATCATTTCTTCCTCGCCATCTCATCTCATCTTGTTCTTGTGGACATAGTCTCATGATTGAATGGTGTCTTCACACGCTCAGTAGAAAAATCATTAGGGCCTATTTGTTCTAATGGGAGCCTCTCATATCATAATAGTAACTGAGACACCAGTATCCCATAGCAACAATTGCATATCTTTCCCTCAAGCGTTTTTCATTAATTATTCCTTTCTTTTGCAAGGCCTTTATTTTCTCAGACAGGAATTAGAATGCATGCTCAATTTCCTCTTCAGTAAAAGAGCTGCTCTGTGGACCGCCTCACGTCTCCAGCTGTTACCCAGACAGAGACGCGCTGGTGTCGGGGGAATAATAATACTTGTATAAATGCATACGTATCTCATTGACATTCACTGTAATGGCTTTGCGTCTACATTCCTGTGCGTCGGTGGTTTGGCGTTTCTTTGTATTGGATATGACATGTTTTGGTCTGCTCTGTGTCGTTGCTTTTCTTTTTTATATATAGCTATATATATATATATATATATATATATATAAAAGAATAAAGAGATATATATTATATCTAATATAAATATGTATATATATTGCAAGGAATGATAGTCCTGTCCCCATAGTGAATGTACAATCTTTTGTATCTTAAAGCCATTACCAATGTAAATCTGACAAGAGCAGATATCTTTTGAATAGCGCCTGTATATTGGGGGACTCCCTTACAGGAGAACTGGATTAATTGAGGAGTGGAGGATTCTCTGACAGATTAAAATAAATACATTTTCAAAAATGTAGGGTGTGAAAATAGTCCATGCTTTTCTCAATGTCTCTGTATAACAGGGATTTTGTAGTTTATCAGTTCTACTGCAGCACGCCAACTAAGTTATATTCCTATGACTTTTGTGTGTCATATGTGTGTCCTGAATTTCTCATAGGCGGGAGAATTTTCTCCTGTGGGGGATCAATAAAGTATCATCATCATATGGGCGATTAATCGATTTTAATCATTAATTCGAGTTTTACATTTAGGGCGATTTCTTTTTTTAAAAATTCGATTTTTATTTTCTCCAGCGCAGAACTACAGCGCTAACGCGCTAACCGCGGGTCTATGGTGTTGAGCAGTCATTTTGAAGCTAACCTAATGCTAACAGTCTCCCTCTGGCCTGATGCTCGCTCTCACAGTTGGTGCTGTTGCAATAACACTTCAAACGTTCAAGAATCAGACTTTATTTAAATCGCCAGAACACACACACACACGCACGCAAGCCCCGGTCGCCATGTTCGTACGCCACATCTTTCACGCTCGTTATTCCAAAGCGCACTCCCGTGTCCGTGGCGCGCACACACTCGTGTCCCACTGAGCCGCTGCACTTTGGGGAAAGACACGTCTCACACATTGCTCTCATTGCTCTGATACAAACAACGTGTTCCCCGCTGTCTGTTTGCTACAGTAGCTGCTACAGTAGCTGCTACAGTAGCTGTTAGCTACAGTAGCTGCTAGCTACAGTAGATGCTACAGTAGCTGTTAGCTACAGTAGCTGCTACAGTAGCTGCTACAGTAGCTGCTACAGTAGCTGTTAGCTACAGTAGCTGCTACAGTAGCTGTTAGCTACAGTAGCTGCTAGCTACAGTAGATGCTACAGTAGCTGTTAGCTACAGTAGCTGCTAGCTACAGTAGATGCTACAGTAGCTGTTAGCTACAGTAGCTGCTACAGTAGCTGCTACAGTAGCTGTTAGCTACAGTAGCTGCTACAGTAGCTGTTAGCTACAGTAGCTGCTACAGTAGCTGTTAGCTACAGTAGCTGTTAGCTACAGTAGCCGCTACAGTAGCTGTTAGCTACAGTAGCTGCTACAGTAGCTGTTAGCTACAGTAGCAGCTACTGTAGCTGTTAGCTACAGTAGCTGCTACAGTAGCTGTTAGCTACAGTAGCCGCTACAGTAGCTGTTAGCTACAGTAGCTGCTACAGTAGCTGTTAGCTACAGTAGCAGCTACTGTAGCTGTTAGCTACAGTAGCCGCTACAGTAGCTGTTAGCTACAGTAGCTGTTAGCTACAGTAGCTGTTAGCTACAGTAGCAGCTACTGTAGCTGTTAGCTACAGTAGCCGCTACAGTAGCTGTTAGCTACAGTAGCTGTTAGCTACAGTAGCTGTTAGCTACAGTAGCTGCTACAGTAGCTGTTAGCTACAGCATCAGAATGTAAACAGGAAGCTCGCACAATGCGGGAGTCACTGAAGTTAGTATTAGCGCCACCAGCTGGACCGAGCGTTGTACTACAGCACAGTTACTCAGGCACAGTTGAAAGAACAAGCATGAAAACCCGAGGAGGCTTTTGGAAAAGACTGTCTGTTACAACATTTCTATTTTGAGTAATCAGTTTTAAAAATGTGATATTTCATGTAAATAATGCATGTGTTTAATAGGATTGATATATTTGCGATGGGCCTTGTTTGTGTGATTTAAGTTATTTTGAAGGTGCATAGTGTCATTGTAAGTGAAGTTATTATAAAACTGTTAAGCTACATTTTCACTGTTTACAATGGCAGAGCCATCTCGTTTACAAGCATGTTTTAAGGCTTAATTCCTGTTACACTTATGCTCCATGGGGATTTAGATCGAACTGCATAAAGGAAAATCTATTTCTTTGTCAGTTGTAGTTTGTTTTTAAATAGAAAAAAATAAATCGATTAAAATCGAAATCGGATTTGGTGTGAAAAAATCGGAGATTTTTTTTTTTTGCCATATCGCCCAGCCCTAATGTATATATGCATATGTGTTTATGTATGTGTATAATCCCATATGAGAGTTATATTTTACCATTTATGCCGACACAATGCCTGTGATTAAAATACTGCATAACTGTGCTACACAAATAGACTGGCCTCGTCTTGTGTATGGACTGTGCTAAACAAATAAACTGACCTTGCCTATAATCAGCGTATATAAGTGGTTACTGTACACATTTGTAAATTGAGCTAAATGCAGCATCTTTGGTTTCTGTAGGTCCCATGTTTGACGATTTCGCAGAGGGGAAGAAGAAAAGTGGTCGCCCAAAAACAGAAGTACAGGAACTCAAAAGCATTCCTGTGAGTATCATTCATACTACGATTATCTGGTATTAACTAGTATTATCTTCAACCTGTCATACAGTTTTTCATCCATAATATTGGCCTCATTGTCGTGTGTTCAGGCTCATTTGATCGTGCAGTGGAAGGAGGAGTTCAAGCGGCGTTCTCGAGTGCGGTGTCCATGCTCCGGCTGTTGGTTGGAGTTTCCGAGCATCTACGGAGTCAAGTACCACTATCAGCGCTGTCAGGGGGTGAGCATCCTGCTGTGCACATGCTCAACCTGAGGCCATGTGTGCATTTCAGAGAATCTCAAAGAAAATACAGAGAAACGACACTGTTATATACCAGTTATCAAAGAGCTACCTCATAATGATTCAAAAAGGTTAATTTGGTCTTGAGTTAAAAGGCTTTTTGTGGTTCTTTTGGAAGACAACAAAAAGTTATACGTCTAACTTGTATTTCAAAAGAACCATAAAAATCATATCAAAGAGCTAATTTGCTATTAAGTTAACATCTATTCATACTAGGGCTTAAATAAGTTAATTTATGAATCGCAACTAATAGATTATTGAAACATTGCATTTAGTAATTGGTTAATTTTTTTTTTTTACCTTTCATAGACTGACACATGCAGAGGCTTCACAACTCAGATAATTGTTTAATGATTGCAGTGTTAAATGAAAAAGTGTAAAGTATTTTAGTTAAATAACCCAATGTCTAACAAATCGTCTCTATGGAGATGTTCTTGAGATTTATTTTGGTCTAAAGTATATAAATATCCATACTCATTGATCTTTCGAGATCTAAACAGCAAATTTATTATCAAAATAATCACTTACAACAGCCCTAGTTGCAATCAAATCACAAAACTATCAATAATCAGTTTCCAATGAGCAAATAATGATAACTTATTGCATACGTTAACTATATCAATGTTTTTCTTCGTCAATCTCTCCATCCATTTATAGCCTTTTTATTTGTACTGTTTTAGAGTATTGTGATAATATTTAACCTTTTTAAATATGGTTCTTAATAGTGTCTGCTCTGTGTGTCCAGACCACTGTGGCAGAGAAGCTGAGTCATGGCTGCCCCTACTGTGAGGCCGTGTTCGCCACGAAGATCCGACTGGAGAAGCACAAACTGTGGAACCATCCGGAACGCACGTCCATGGAGCCTAAGGACGAGCAGAACATGCAAAAGACGACCCACGTCAAGTCCATTAAGAAAAGGTGGCTGCAGTTCACATTAGCTGGAAAAGGGAAGTGAGATTTTCCCGGTCAGACATTACCAGAAAAATACAAAATATGTCCGATCTTGGGTGTGTACAAAACTGTAATCACTTTCTGTAAATGTTTTGAAACATTGTTGTTCTGGACGTTTGTGTCACTGTTCCAAGGGGACCTCAGTCTGAATCATCCTCTTTCTCTTTGAATCACCACCTAAGTGGTTTTTAAGTGGTTCAGTGTAGAATTTGAGTCACCAAACTGATAAAGTCCATGGATCGATCATTTTGCTCCAATTTTAAACCAGACATAACAACCATAAACAAGACATTGCATTGAAAAAAACATTGATATGGGATAATTTTGTTGATAAACCTATTCCATGGGACAGGGCCATACAAGATTGCATGTTTTTCTTATCTCTCATTGAAAATAAATCTAAAGTAGTCATCTGGATCAAGTTTTTGATTTCTATCCATTCATACATTTTCAGATCTATGGCCTGAAAACTGCACATTTAAGCTGTAGAGGGATTAGTCCTGCCCAGAGGAACGAGTAAACTCTTAAATGAACGTCACTTTCTTGTACTTTATTCTATCGTATTAGCTCCATTAGCTGATTACTACCTTATTAAGCGCTGTGCAGGTGTCTATTTTTGAAACAAACAAAAAAAGTCTCAAAAGTTGTTTGATTCAATCCATCTCTTTTGTTTGTTACAGTGTAATTTTCTGTGTAATGGATAGACTAGTGACTGTATGCACTGATTTGCCTTGAAAGTGAGTGATGATTGGTCTTTTTGTTTGTGTTCAGACCGATGGAGAACAGTCCTCCATCTCCCGTGTTCTTCAAAGTCAAAAAGACCCACGAGGCATCCATGCCGTCACAGAACGGGGAACTGTCCCATCTGAGGGTGGACCGGAAACCACACACACAGAACCAGACTCCACCTCTGCACCAGTCCTCTCCGTCAGCACCAGCCCAGATCCAGACCCAGAGCCAGACCCAGATCCAGAGCCCGTCCCAAAGCCAGTCCCAGAGCACGTCCTCAGACGCAGGGGGGAGTGAGAGTGAAGAGGGGCAGGCTCCGTCCTACACTGACGAGGACCCAGAGAGAATGAAACACAGTAAGAGTTGTCGTCTACTAGGGTCAAATCAATTCAAAATTCATCATAATCATGTTTTCTAGTTATTTGAGTCCTGCTGCTTATATAGAGATGCAGCTAAAATTTGCATTTCTATTGTTTGTATTTCTATAATTTTGTATTTCTAAAACACATAATAAGTGTATGAACTTATTGTGTGTTTTAGTAACCATAGAACATTTGTTTATTGTCAAAAAGACTGGTGATTGAGTACTGACATGGAAGCTATCGGTTAAAGTAGCAGTATGTAAAAATCTGGCCAAAAGTGGTACTGCGGCCTCTCCCACTCTCCCTGACTCAGGTTGCCAGATATGCAAATTATCCCAGTTGGGACCATATTATCTGAAAAGACTTTTGTCAACAACACAACTATAAGAAAAACACCTTTTTAACGAAGGCCCTGATAGATAATGATTTGAGAATCATTACAAGACCTTTTTTAGTACTGCAGCCACATGTTATCACAGACTCTCTGATTGGTAAAAACGATGGAGGGCGGGACATCGAAATTAAAACAACAAGATTTAGGGGCTGTAAAACTAATTTTGAAATCCAATTATCTCCGCTGAACTTCCCTTATCAGTTAAAGAGGTATTGGAGCATTGTTTATTAATGCTGTTTGACATATTAGGGCCATTTAATGATAACTTGACATGAAAATCTTACATATTGCTACTTTAAGCTTGTCATTAAATCATGTGACCAGTTAAAAGAGTCGTCTGTATAGTACATTCCAACATGAAAACCTGTGGCTTTTATTCAAGTGTGGCCTATGTTTGGACAAAATGTACTTTCTTTTGAAATGGGGCGACTTACAGGAGCGCCTTATAGTTCAGAAAGTACGGTAAATGTGTTGACTTCACTTGAGTACACATCCAACAAACAAGATACAAAACAAAGGCTCCACAAAGCACACACACACAGACAAAGCACACGCCCAAACACACTCTGACCCTACACTACTGGGATGTCAAAAATATCAACAAATATTTACTGATGCTAATTTTATTCATGACTTTATAAGACAACAGAATATGTCAGCATTTGAAAGTAATTGCATAAGGCATGTGAAAAGATTTGACCGGCAGAAGATTACATACCTGTACATAATTTGTGAACCATAAACAGTATTTATACATATATAATATTAAATACATATAAAATGCATGTATGCCATGCAATTTATGGGAAGGATTAGAAAATGTAAATGCAAAATCCAATAAATCTGTAATTGGCTGAGCAGAATCCCAAAACATTAATATTGGTTCCAACACAATTGGTCAGCTCCTTGTAAAATCTATGTTTTCTTTGTAGGGCAGTATGGGCATCAATCTTAGAATAGTGTTGTCTTTCTGTGGTAATATAAAACTCTTTTGTTTGTTCAAGGACGGAAACAGAAGACGCCCAAGAAATTCACGGGAGAGCAGCCCTCTATCTCTGGGACATTTGGGCTGAAAGGTGGGTAAATTTGATTAATAGATCGACAGACAGCAGACACTCTCTCTGGTCTCTCTCTCTCTCTCTATCTCTGTCTCTTTATGGTCTCTCTCCCTCTGACGTCATTCTGGACTCTCTTCTCTGGTCTCTCTCTGTTCTCTCTGTTCCCTCTGTCTCTCTCTCTGGTCTCTCTCTGATCTCTCTCTCTGGTCTCCTACTGAAGCACAGACAGACAGACAGACATTACTGCATGTAGACCTCCTGAATTGAAGAGAGTTGTCTGCCTTTTTATGAGGAAACCATCATATGACTGCCTAGTGATTGTGGTTCTACGTCATGGTGCTACGTCCCTTAGGACTTCGCTAGTGGGATATCACTCGTGACCCCCAGGTCACACGCCAGAGAGATCAAAATAATTTGCTCCAATCACCAGCCACCTTCCTCTATAAATGCCCCTGCACAAGGCCGCACCCCCTCTTTCACTCTGGCGCCGTTCGAGATCTACCACAGTACTTACTTCATTCTGAGATGTCTTCCTTGTTCGTCCGAGTTCCCTTCGCCCTCCGGCGTCGGACGTCGTCACTGGATCCAGACGGTGGAGGACTTCACCTCTGTGGGCGCCACCACTCGAGGGAGGAGGAGGATAAAACCCACGTTGTGCCCGCGGATGGACCCGTTCGTCCATTACGCGACACGTGAGTGGCCTAAGCCCCTAGCAGCCAAGAGGCCTGCACTGGGGTACGACATATACTGCAGCGGGCAGGACTGGTCCTGGACCGGTGATCGAGGATTCAGTCCGCATGGCCCTGCAGCCCTCCGCATCCGTGTGGCCCGGCACCAGACCTCTCCTTCTCTCCGAGCGGGACAGGATGTCTTGCCGAGGCTGGATAGATACTATGCCAATGCGGCACAGGTCGTCACATTGGCTATCAACATGACTTTCATCACGGGGGCCCTGGATAGGGCGCTCTCCTCTGGCCAGGCGCTCAGTGGAGACCTCCTGTCACAGGCGAGGACCACCTCGGCGGCGATCCTGCGCATGTGCCAGACGCTAGACGTGGATGGTGGCCAGGACACCGAGGATTCAGTCCGCATGGCCCTGCAGCCCTCCGCATCCGTGTGGCCCGGCACCAGACCTCTCCTTCCCTCCGAGCGAGACAGGATGTCTTGGCGATGCCGGATAGATGTTATGCCATTGCAGCACAGGTCCTCGCATTGACTAACTACATGGCATTCATCACGGGGGCCCTGGATATGTTGCTCTCTTCTGACCAGGCGCTCAGTGGAGACCTCCTGTCACAGGCGAGGACCACCTCGGCGGCGACTCTGCGCATGTGCCAGACGCTAGCTGTGGATGGTGGCCGCTCCATGGCAGCAGCCCAAGTCGGGCCAGGCACCTTTGGCTTGGGCTGGCTAATATCAGGGAGGCGGAGAGGAGACAGCTGCTGGACCTGCCCACCTCTCAGATGTCCCTCTTCGGCCCGGACATGCAGGCCTGGGTGGCGAGACTGGAGTCTGCAGCTAAAGACTCGGCTAGGCTAGCCCCGCACCTAGCACCGAGGCGCGAGGCCCACCAACCATCACGGAGCCGGGACAGAGGTCGAGAGCGTTGGCCCGGGAGGCATCCTGACCCGTATCCGCGCTCTGTTATCCATCGTCCCCCCTTGACGAGGCCCCCGGGTCCAGACAGACCCATGGGTGGCTCGCGGGAGCAACGCACCCACCACCGACCTCCCTATGGTAGAGGAGGCCGGGGTGGAAAAATTTTTCCTTCAATAAAGGCCGACCGGCATTTCCATTACTTTTCTGAGTCTGATTTGGGGGTATGTAACATGTCAAATATTGTGAATTCTGATTGTGTTACTTCCCGGGCACATAACGTTGCTTCGCTAGGCCTGCAGCCCCAGAGAGGGGCGTGCAGTGCACTACGAGCTCCGGTTTCTCTGATCCATACTATGCCCTCCCAGAGAGAGGTCAAGCGGAGGGATCTGGTGAGTGATCTGTGTGTGCTTCGGCCGAACGCGTGTTAGCATTTTTGAGCTACAGGGCTAACACGGGGTTTCCCACTCCAGGGGCTCGCCCCCCCCTCCATGAGGCAAGAGCCAGGGGGGGGCACAGCAGCCGAGTCACGTGGGATGAGCAGTCCCGTACTTATGACGTCGGGCCTGCAGGACACGTGACCGCCCCCGGCGCTCACGGTGTGACGCAGGGTGCCCCCCCGGCCCTTTCGTCCACCCCCCCTCCCTGCTAGGAACACCAGGAGAGGGCGGGGCCGTGACGTCTCGTGTTCCAGCTCCCGTTCCGCTCCTCACAGACTTCTACAGCATCTGGAGGGAGCAAAGATGGCTGACATATCTATGGCGGGAGAGAACATTGCGCAGGGGTTACGCACTGCAATTCTCCCAGAAGCCACCACCATTCCGAGGCGTACGGGCAGCACGCTCTCAGGTACGGGGTCATTAGAGGCACTGCAAGCGGAGGTCTCCTCTCTGCTGAGCCTAGGCGCAGCAGTGGAGGTAGACCCACAGGACGCCACCAGGGGGCTGTACTCCCCTTACTTCTTAGTGCCAAAGAAGTCAGGCGGGGTGCGTCCCATTCTGGATCTTTGCGTGTTGAACGAGTGCATTTCCAAACGGCAGTTTCGGATGCTGCCCACAAAGCAGCTCCTCGAGTGTGTCAGGCAGGGAGATTGGATATCCTTCATAGACCTGACAGATGCGTACTTCCACGTGCCGATAGTACCGGAACACAGGAGGTTCTGCGCTTCGCAGTGGGAGAGAGGAATTACGAGTACTGTCGTTTTCCCCTTGGGCTACGCACTCGCGCCGTGGAGCAGGGGTAAGAATTAATCTACATAGACGTCGGGTTAATTCTGGCCTCACCCAGGGAAGTGGCCGTGAGTCATACGCACTGGGTCCTGTCCCACATACAGCGCCTGGGCTTTGTGGTTAACAGGGAGAAAATTAACAGTTACCTTTGTAACTTAAGTTCTACGAATAGGTGCACGTGATATCCCACTAGCGAAGTCCGCTAGGGGACGTAGCACCATGACGTAGAAGCAGGCTGCAACCGGCTCAGCGCATGATCTATCTCGGTCTGCAGCTAGACTCTGTGACATTCCGTGCTGCATGGTCCGTGGACAGACGGATGAACACTACCCGTCTGCCCGGGGAGGTTCTGGCGGGCCCCAGAGTCCCCGCTCGGCGCCTCAGGTCCCTGCTGGGAATGATGGCGGCGGCTCATGCTGTGGTGCGGCTAGGCCTTCTCCACATGAGGAATTTTCAGAGGTGGTTCTCACGCCTCAGGCTTCACCCCTCCCGGGACAGGGGGAGGCTGATCTGGGTTCCCCAAGTGGCAGCATCGAACATCAGGTTCTGGCTCACTCCGGGTCTTCTACGGGACGGAGTGACTCTGGCCGGCGCCGTGTCTCACGTGGAGATGTTCACGGACGCGTCGCTCGAAGGATGGGGCGGGGTCCTCGGCCATAGTTCTGTAGGAGGCTGCTGGTCGGACTCAGCCCATCACATCAACCTGCTGGAGATGGAGGCAGTGCACAGGGTACTGCTGCACTTTGCTCCTCAGCTGCAGGGGAGACACGTGATGGTGCGCTCAGACAACACCACAGTGGTCTCCTATCTGAACAGGCAGGGGAGCACCAGGTCCCCCGCTCTCCATCGCATGGCAAGGGTGACGCTGCTGTGGGCGGCGCTTCACCTCCTGTCTCTCAGGGCGCGCCACGTCCCGGGGGTCCGGAACGTGGGGGCCAACAGGGGGGCCGACGTGGGGGGGCCCACTCTAGGACGAGTGGGGCCTGGCCCCAGGGGTGGCTGCGGAGATCTGGCGGAGGTTCGGCCGTCCAGTGGTCGACCTTTTTTTCGCCAGTGCAGGAAACGCACAGTGCCCGTCCTGGTTCGCCTCAAGGGCCACGGACCAGCCGCCTTTAGACGTGGACGCTCTGGCTCATTACCCCTGGCCAGGGGGCCTGCTGTACGCGTTCCCCACCAGTGCGTCTCCTGCCGGTCCTGCTGCGGAGGATCGAACAGGAGAGGAGGTCGGTGATCCTGGTGGCGCCGGACAGTCCGCATGCTCGGTGGTTCCCCTTCCTGAGGGGCATGGCGGTGATGGAGCCCTGGGCCCTCCCGGACGAGCCGGGGGCTCTAGTCCAGGGGGGGAGGAGCCCTGTTTTCACGCCCGATAATCGGCCGCAGGCTCTGGGTTGGAGGCTGAGAGGCGGAACCTCGTAGACCTGGGTCTTCCCCCTGCGGTGGTGGAGACCACTCAGGGGGCGAGGGCGCCGTCCACTGTGAGGGCCTACGCCACGAGGTGGAGGCTATTTAGCGACTGGTGCGGTTTTCGTTCCTGGGATCCCAGGCGTTGCCCGCTGGAGGGGGTCCTGGGATTCCTACGGGAGCTCTTTGACAAGGGGAGGGCTGTCGCCACCTTGGCGGTGTTCGCGGCAGCCATTACTTCGGGTCACAACGGATTCGGGGGGTTCACAGCCCGCTCTCATCCGTTGGTTAAACGTTTTCTGCGGGGGGCACGCAGGAGGAGGCCCCCGCTCCAGAGAACGCCCCGGTTTGGGACCTCAGGGTGGTCCTTAGGGGGCTGTCGGGCCCGCCTTTTGAACCGGCGGCGGAGGCGAGTCCCGAGTGTGTCGCTTTAAGACGGCCCTCTTGTTGGCGTTGGCGTTGGCGTCTGCTAAGAGGGCGGGCGACTTGTGTGCGCTCTCTGTCCATGCGTCTTGCCTGTCCTTGGAGAGGGCGACGGCATGGTGGTATTGTGGCCCAATCCGGCTTTTCTCCCCAAGGTCATCACGTCGGCCTTTAGGTCGAGAGTCATCAGGATTAGGGCTTTCTATCCGCCACCGCATGCCTCCCCCGAGGAGGAGCGGCGGCACCTTCTGTGTCCTGTCAGAATGCTGAGGCATTACCTGGCCATGACGTCGTCATTCAGGTTGGGTGGCCAGCTGTTGTGTGTCTGGGCCCCAAGAACAGGGGCGCCCCGCTGTCGGCTCAGCGGCTGGCGCACTGGGTTGCCACGGCTGTGCGGCGGGCGTATCAGACGCAGGGTCTGGCCCTCCCGGTGGGCTTCAGGTCGCATTCCACGCGTGGGATGGCGGCCTCTACGGTCCTTCTCAGGGGGGTGTCGGTCGAGGACGTATGCCGTGCGGCTTCTTGGGCTTCGTCCTCCTCTTTCGTCCGGTCTTATCTTTTGGATGTGTCGGACCGGTCGGTGGCCCATTCCGTGCTGAGTGCAGCGGACTGAGGTAGACCGTTAGGTCCCTCCTCTGAGGGGGCCTTCGGTTTGCTTTCCGCCCTGGTTCAGGAGCTCTTGGGAGAGGCATCCTACAGGAGCGGTACATATATGTGTGTTTTGGTCGGTCTGGTAGTCCACGTCAGGAGCCCTTGGGAGAGGCGTCCTGTGACTACGGATGACCTATATCTGTGTTACGTGGGGGTATCCTTGGTAGGAGTGGCCCTGTAACACGCATTGTTTCTTCTGCCCTGAGTCCTCTCACTTTGTGAGGGTCTTGCTCGGGCGGAGCTCCAATCACCCTTCGCTGGCCTGTTGGGAGTACATTTTCCTACGGCCTCCGCGTTGTGTCCCACTAGCGAAGTCCTAAGGGACGTAGCACCATGACGTAGAATTAATAGTTACTTAATGTAACTTAAGTTCTACGAATAGGTGCGTAGTCCCTTAGCTACGAGCCCATCAGGCCAGCCCGGCTTGGCAGAGTTCAAGAGGGGGTGCGGCCTTGTGCAGGGGCATTTATAGAGGAAGGTGGCTGGTGATTGGAGCAAATTATTTTGATCTCTCTGGCGTGTGACCTGGGGGTCACGAGTGATATCCCACTAGCGAAGTCCTAAGGGACTACGCACCTATTCGTAGAACTTAAGTTACATTAAGTAACTATTAATTCCTCCCGCTGTTGCAAATCAAATTATTTGCCCATAACATTTTCTTGTCTGGCTAATTAGGATTCAGATACTGTACATGACAAAGAGCTTGTATTTCACTCATTATCGGCTATCATTATAATTGGCTGTACATGTCTATGATCTCACAGTTTAGTTGTGGTTATGATTTATATATTATATTAACAGTTTGTTTGTGGGTGTTTTGTTGGCAGGAATGACAAAGGTGGAGGAAAAGCTCAAAGCCGGACGTGTAAAGAGACCAGAGGGAAATACGGTCATCGAGGAACCTCAGAAAAGACCCACTCCTGTTTCAACCAAGAAAGATCCAGCTACAACCAGCTCCGGTAAGAAGTCCTGCTCAAGTCCATTAGAGATTTGTTTGAAGACGCATGAGCTCAGTTCATTAACAGCATATCCAGTAAAAGTGTGTGCTTAAAAGAGGCGTATGAAACTGGAAGGAGTTCTGTAAGGATAACATAAGTATAATATAATGAGTAGGCTTGTCACGTTTAGATCTATATTTATATTTGACTAATTTAGAGAAGATAAGAAAACCTGATTCATCCCACAGTGGGGAATTTTTAATGATGCAACGCACATACAGGAGAGTAGTAAGCGCACACAGGGAGCACACAAAATATACATTATGAGTAGCTGCTATGCTTCTTAGCTAGCTGTAAATGCTTCAATACTAATATATTTATATGTATATTCTTCTATGTGATTAGATTCTTTGACTTTGAAAAGGAGGTAATATAAATAGGGGTTGTTGAACTGTAATATCTGTGAAATTGTCCTATATTTTGAAGTTTTTTTTTTTTATCTATCAATCTACTTACTATATCACAATGAGCCACTGGTGTCGTAGATTATCACTACATGACAGACGTTTTACCATTCTACTTACAGTACCTCTACTTAACCTACATTCATTTCATTGTCCCCCCCCCCCACTCCTGGTCTACAGCCTCATCCTCCTGGGTCCAGAGCTTCAGTCCTGTGCTACACCTCAATCCTGGACTAAAGCCTCAGTCCCTGGATCTACAGTCCTCAGTCCTGGTCTACAGCCTCAGTCTGGGTCTACAAGAGCCTCAGCCATGCGTCTAAAACTCAGTCCTGGTCTACACCCTCAGCCCTGGGTCTATAGCCTCATCTGGGTCGACCAGCCTCAGTCCCTGGGTCCAGAGCTCTCAGTCCAGGGTGTAAGGCTCAGTCCTGTGTCTAAGCCTCCATCCCCCTGGGTCTAGAGCCTCAGTCCGGTCTAAAGCGGCCGATCCTGGGTCAAAGCCTCAGTCCTGGGTCTGGAGCCTCATTCCTGGGGTGTACGAGCTCAGACCTGGGTCAACAGCCTCAGTCCTGGTCTAGAGCCTCAGGTCTTTCTAGAGCCTCAGTCCTGGGTGTAGAGGCTCAGATCCTGGGGTCCTACAGCCTCAGTCCTGGGTATACAGCCCTCAGTTCCCTGGGTCCTACATCCCATCCCTGGTCTAACAGCCTCAGCCTGGGTCTAACAGCCTCAGGTTCCTGGTCTAGAGCCTCAGTCCTGGACTGGGGTCTACAGGCTCAGGTCCTGGGTCTAACAGCTCTCAGTCCCTTGGGTCTACAGCCTCAGTCCTGGTCCAGAGCTTCAGACCTGGTCTACAGCCTCAGTCCTGGGTCTACACCTCAAGTCCTGGTCCAGACTTCAGCTCCCTGGGTCCACAGCCTCAGTCCTGGGTCTAGAGCCTCAGTCCTGGGTCTTAACAGGCCACAGCCCCTGGGTCTGAAACCTCAGTCTTAGGTCTACAACCTCAGTCCTGGGTCCATGAGCTTTAGTCCTGGGTCATAGCCTTCAGTCCTGGGTCCACAGGCCTCAGTCCTGGTCTACAGCCTCAGTCCTGGTCCTAGACCTCAGACCTGGGTTCCAGAGCTTCAGTCCTGGGACCACAGCCTCAGTCCTGGGTCTACAGAACCTCAGTCCTGGGTCGAGACCTCAGTCCCTGGGTCTACAGGCTCTCCTGGATCTAACAAGCCATCAGTCCTGGGTCTACAGCTATGTCCTGGGTCCTAGAGCCCTCAGTACCCTGGGTCTACATCCTCGTCTGGGTCTACAGCCTCAGTCCCTGGGTTCTAGAGCCTCAGTCCCGTGGGTCTACAGCCTCAGTCCTTTCTACAGCCTCAGTCCTGGTCCCTAGAGCCTCAGTCCTGTCTAACAGCCTCAGTCCCTGGGTCTAGAGCCTCAGTCCTGGTCTAAACAGGCTCAGTCCTGGGTCTACACCTCATCCCTGGTTCTACAGCCGTCAGACCTGGGTTCAAGGAGCTTCAGTCCTGGGTCCACGAGCCTCAATCCTGGTCTAAAGCCTCAGTCCTGGGTGTAGAGGCTCATGTCCCTGTGCCTAGCTCTCTGTCCCTGGTCTACAGCCGTCAGTCCTGGGTCTAGAGCCTCAGACTGGGTCTACAGCCTCAGTCCGGATCTACAGCCTCAGTCCCTGGTCTACAGCCCTTAGTCCTGGGTCCACAGCCTCAGTCCTGGGTGCTACCAAGCCACAGTCCTGGGTCCCTACAAGCTCAGTCCTGGGTCTAACAGCCTCAGTCCCTGGGTTCTAAGCCCTCATCCTCTGGGTCTACAGGCTCAGTCCTGGATACAGCCTCATATCCTGGGTCAACAGCCTCAGTCCTCGGGTGCTACAGCTTCAGTCCTGGTCTCACAGCCTCAATCCTGGTCTAAAGCCTCGACACTGGGTCACAGCCTCAGCCCTGGGTAACAGCTCCGTCCTGGGTCTACAGCCTTAGTCCTGGGTCTACCAGCCTCAGTCCTGGGTCTGCACCTCAGTCCTGGGTCTAGAGCCTCAGTCCCGGTCGTACATCACCTCAGCCCTGGGTCTATTAGCCTCAGTCCTGGGTCTACAGCCTCAGTGCAGTGTCTAAAAACCTCAGTGCCTGGTCTACAGCCTCAGTCCTGTCCACAGCCTCAAATCCTGGGTCTAAAGCCTCAGTCCTGGGTCTACAGGCTCAGCTCCTGGGTCTAGAGCCTCTGGTCCTGGTCTACAGCTCAGCTTCCTGGGTCTACAGCTCAGTCGCTGGGTCAACAGCCTCATTCCTGGTCCAGAGCTCAGTCCTGGGTCCGACAGCTCAATCCTGGGTCTAAAGCCGCATTCCTGGGTGTAGAGGCTCAGTCCTGGGTCTACAGCCTCAATCCTGGTCTAGAGCCCCTCAGTCCTGTGGTCTACAGACTCAGACCTGGGATACAGCTCACCTGGGTCACAGCCACAGTCTGGGTCTACAGGCCTAAGTCCTGGGGATACAGCCTCAGTGTCACCTGGGTCCACACCTCTTTCCTGGATCTACAGCCTCAGTCCTGGGTCTACAGCCTCAGTCCTGGTCTACCCCTCAGCCAATGGGTCTAAAACCTCAGTCCGGGGTCTACAAACCTCAGCCCTGGGTCTATAGCCTCAGTCCTGGTCTAACAGCGCTCAGTCCTGGGTCTACAGCCTCAGTCTGGTCTACAGGCTCATCCTGGGTCTACAGGCTCATCCGTGGGTCTACAGACTCAGTCCTGGTTCTACAGAGCCTCAGTCCTGGGTCTACAGCCCAGTCCTGGGTCTACAGCCTCATCATGGGTCCTACAGCCTCAGTCCTGGGTCTACAGCCTCAGCCAGGTCTACAGCCTCAGTCCCTGGGATACAGCATCAGTCCGGGGTCTACAGCCTCGTCCCCTGGGTCCAGAGCTTCCAGTCCTGGGACCACAGCCTCAATACGGGTCCTACAAGCCCTCAGTCCTGGGTTCTAAACCTCAGCCCTGGGTTCTACAGCCTCAGTCCTGTGTCTACAGCCTTAGTCTGGGTCTACAGCAACAGTCCCTGGGTCTACAGCTCTGATCCTGGGTCTATAGCTCAGTCCTGGGTCTACAGCCTCAGGGTCCTCCTGGGTCATAGCCACAGTCCTGGGTCTACAGCCTCAGAACCTGGGTCTACAGCCTCAGTCCTGGTCTACAACCTCAGTCCCCTTTGTCCTACAGCCTCAGTCCTGGGTCTACAGCCTCAGTCCTGGAATCTACAGCCAATCCACCTGGGTCAAGAGCCTCAGTCCTGGTCTACAGGCTCAGTCCTGGGGATACGAGCCCTCATCCGGTCTTACAGCTCAGTCCTGGGTCACAGCCTCAGTCCTGGGTAATAGCTCAGTCCGGTCTATAGCCTCAGGTCCTGGTCAATAGCCTACAGACCCTGGGCTACAGCCTCAGTCTGTAAGACCAGGACTGGTCTACAAGCCTCAGTCCTGGTCTACAGTGCCAAGTATATCCGGGGTCACAGCCTCAGTCCTGGGTCTACAGCTCAGTTCCTGGGTCTAACATCCTCAGTCCTGGGCTAGAGCATCAGTCCTGGGTCTATAGGCTCTCCTGGGTCTAATACAGCCTCAGTCCTGTGTCTACAGCCTCGTCCTGGTCCAGAGCTTCATCCTGGGTCCACAGCCTGACTCAATCCTGGGTCTAAAGCCTCAGTCCTGGGTCCAGAGCCTCAGTCCAGGGTCTAGATCCTCAGTCGTGGGTCGAGAGCATCAGTCCTTGTCTACCAGCCTCCGTCCTGGGTCTTCAGCCTCAGTCCTGGTCTAAACCTCAGTCCCTGGTCTACACTCAGTCCTGGTCCAGAGCTTTAGTCCTGGTCTACAGCCTCAGTCCTGGGTCTACATTACAGCGCTCAGTTCCTGGGTCTCACAGCCTCAGTCCTGGGTCTACATGCTCATCCTGGATCTACAGACTCATCCCTGGTTCAATACTCAGATCATGGGTCTACAGACACAGCCCTGGTCTATATGCCTCAGTCCCTGTGTTTACCGCCTCAGCCCATGGGTCAAAACCATCATCCTCGGGTCCAGAGCTTTAGTCCTGGGTCTATACCTCAGTGCTGGGTCTACAGCCATCAGCCCTGGGTCTAAAGACCTCAGTCCTAGGGTCTACAACCTCAGCCTGGGTCCTATAGCCTCAGTCCTGGGTCCAGAAGCTTCAGTCCTTCCACAGCCCTCAATCCTGGTCTAAGCACTTCAGTCCGGTCTAGCATCCTCAGCCCTGGTCTACAGCCTCTTCCTGGGTCCAGAGACTTGGGTTATGGTTAGGGTCCACCCAGGGCCCTCCCCACACCTAACCCTAACCCCCATGGATACCAGGCTCGCCCCCACGCCGTGCACATAGCCCCCCTGGAGGTCCCAGGCTTATCTCCAACACCTAACCTTAACCCTCCATGAGACCAGGCCGCCCCCACGCCTGCACATACCCCCCTGGAGTCCATGGCTTCTCCACACCAAACCTAACCCCCATGGAGACCAGGCGCCGCCCCCCCTGGAGAACCAGGGGCTTCCCCCACACCCTTGTTCACTGCTTTAATGTTGAAACCCGTTTGATTTTGTTCCCCAAACATGTTTTGACACGACACTTATCTAGTATTGATTCCATAGTAATAATATTAA